GACCCGGATGGCCTGCATACAAGACAGAGCATGCTGAGCCTCAGCTTCAGCAGCCTCGGGCCATCATCCCCATGGGAACCCTCCTCACTGGTAGGGTCGTCATTGGACAACTTGGATGGGTCAATATAGGAGCACTCAGGAGAAAGATGAATAACATCTTCCTCTGCCTTGCCTGCGCCCTCAAAATCCATCTCCTCCTCGATAGGTACCGAAGTATCCGTGGGAGGAATAGGGGCCACCGGAGGAGCCAACTCTAGAGAGTGAGGCTCTTCCATACGGCGTTTATATTTTCGAACTGCTTAACCGTCTCCTGGAGGGTTAGACCAACCCCCAAGGGATTCCACGAGGGAAAACCCATCGGGTTTAACTCAAACCCCTGAGGGAATGAGAATGGTTTAGCGACCTGTGAGTGACCCCAGAACTGGTCAACATGGCCCGCCGGAGTCTAGGGCTGGCCACCCTCTCTGAAGACAACAATGAACCACCACTCCCACCAGGTTGACACCCAGACATGAACGGGCTAGGCCCGAAACTTCTGGTATACCATTGGTTCCCAGAACCATCCTCAGGCTCGCCTGTGTGGCACAGGGTTGAATGCCCACAGGCACCCGTATACCCAGTGCCCGGTGAAAAATGTGACCGGAAACCAGCATGTAAACCCAACCCCTTGGTGAAAAACCCTGGGTACCCCTGCACACGGAACTCTGGACTGGACCGGAAAGGACCAGAACCCGCAACCTGTTAGGGCGGGAAGATGGGCACCGCACTGACGCAAGGATTAGTGAAGTGCGCGTCACTAATCCCTGTAGCCACAGACAACCCTGACAAGAAATCTGTGGCCCCGGACCTACACTTGAAAGTACAAGGTGGCCCCGACCAACACCACCTGGCATGCCAGAATCACTGAACAAATCAGTGACCGGCGGCCGGAAGTCCCTACCCGACGGTAACACTGCCGGCAAACGGGAGCTCCTGGCTAATTCGACCCTGGACTGCGCCAAGTCAGGGTCAGGCTGTTCTCCCTGCTACTCCAGGGTGTGCTTGGACAGGTGGGGGGCACCCTGCTCGAGAGCAGGTCTCGACGGAACATGAGCACCCCCGACAGGAACACCTAAAACACCCATCAGTTCAGAACAAGAGGCGGAAGACTTAGAAGTCTTACTTCTGCTACCTGATGAAGAGGACGAATCAATCTTCTGGCGGGAAGTTCGCCGGACAGGCATGGGTGTCTTGGCAATAGACTCTATGTGCAAACAAAGTCTGCACGGCAAAGTCTTGTTGCAAGGCCAGCAAAAAGAGACAGGCATAATGGGGTCCCGTTCTCCATAGAAAGGGGAACACCAGTGTGCAGACCCCCAACGTAACCTGGCACTATCCATCGTCGAAACAACAAAAATCGTAAACAATGGAAAAACAAGGCTATGAAGTTTTCTGACGAACAAAAAGCTAGGAACGAGGGTACAAAGCCTAACGTACGCAACAGACTACAATAAGAAAACGGTCATACACAACGGCAGACGAAGCAGCAAGAAAACAAATTACAACTTCACGAAAATCCGAAAGGCGAGACCTGTAGTCACACACTCGAACATGTGGAGGAAGACACTGCCGGGAAAATGGTCGAAATAAACATATGCCAGTACTTGTAATTTCGAAAATATTATACGTTAGGAGATGGGTTAACAAACTACTAAGGGAGTAGCAATATACTCCAGACAATAATAGCAGTATGAAGAGAATTATTAAAGAAAGCACTCTGCTCAGTCACCTCCGCAATCGTCGGCAACCATAAAGTTAAGAGGAAGGAAGATCACTCTATGTTCCTGCTGTAATAGCTCAGTTGACAATTTTCTGTATACAGCATGAATGACCTTGGCCTTCACTTATGTGGGCCCTTGAAACACAACAATGTCTAAAGTATACTTATAATTGACTTTTGTATAAATTTTGATAAACATTTGTCAAGGAATGAAGATGCCAGATGGTTACATCACATCACAGGACAGGACAGTATGGGCTGGACATGTGCAATACTATATACCTGCCCCCTACCCAGTTTTATAGCAGGAAATAAACAAAACTTATTCCAGACTGGCAGCCCAAGTAACTTCCAAGGATCACACCACTGCAGAATGAAAGAGAATGTCATTAAGAGACTGACAAGAGGACAACACATGATAATGCAAAATAATTTTTGGTATGCTTATTATTATATTGCATTCTATTCAACTTTTTGTTATCTTTTTTGGACAAAATAATATTGTTTAATGAAAGGGGTGTTGCCTTCCCATGATATTGTTCACCAGTACGTTTTCCATAGCCTGATGCGTCCGGTAGACTATTACATGATGATTCATTATCAGGCCTTCAACAACAGTCAACAACTTAACAGTTAAGGATTAAATTTGAGATTTTGTTTTAAAAAATAAGTTTAAGTATTTATATATGTATTCATTGGCATGCCAACTCATTACAACCAGAAATCAGTGAATGATGAGGTATCACCTGTGCATGTATTATCTACCCTTTAAATGACGCAAACAACTAAATTACTATTATGTTAATATTCCAAGTTCAACACAAGTAATAACTGTCTTAAATTCATAGAACCATACTTATTGATGGCTACAAATTGCATTTCCTTCTGAAGTCAGCAACCGTAGTACATATGTGAAACTAACCACCCACCAAGTGCAGAAAACCCAACATTTTACATCCGTCTAAATCTGCACCACAGTGTGGATAAATATTACATAGGTTTCCAAGGACAGGGTAGTAAAAATGAACATTCCGTATCCAGCGATTTATACGACAGACCTTGTCCACTTCAATGACAAAGGACTGACAAAGTATTATCATGACATTTGTTGAGTGTTGTTTAGGTACAGATAGACATAAATAACCAAATGCCCAAATTCTACATATAAACAGCCCGATTCTGCCCGATCCTGTAAATCGTCTTTCGGTCCAGTGCGGCACATTTCGTTATGTGAAAAGAACATAATACTCTTTTTAGGCTGTTTTTGGATCAGTATGAAAAGATAATAATTTTACTGATATCATTTAACACCACAATAATTACACTAAAAACAATTTAATGTCCAAATTCTACATATAAACCTCCCGATTCTGCCCGATCCTGCAAATCGTCTTTCGGTCCAGTGCGGCACATTACGTTATGTGAAAAGGACATAATACCTTTTTTGGCCGTTTTTTTATCAATATGACATTATTATATTTTAACTAAGGTCAAATTACACCACAATAATTACAATAAAAATAATTTAATGCCCAAATTCTAGATATAAACCGCCCGATTCTGCCCGATCATGCAAATCGTCTTTCGCGACCAAAACAGATATGAGTGTTTTATGTAAATGCGTCTTCAGTTTCCTGTTTTATGTAATACGTCTCATTTTTTTCTTAAAAACTGAACAAAGAGTTTAACATATGTTGGTATTAATGCAAAAGTAATTCATTAAAATGAATAAAACGGCACTATTCTAGTCCGATTCTGCCCGATCCTGCCCGATTCTGCCTGATCCTGCCCGCTTCTGCCCGATCTTGCCCGATCCTGTAAATCGTCTAACCGGTTCGGAAACTGCACAAACAGTAATCTTCAAAGCAATGCAAAACTATTCTGAAAAAAAATATTAAAACCCCACAATGTCGATTTCAACATGACAAGACCAATTTTAGAAATGATTTTTTTTCAAATTTTAATTAAGACGTTTATAATGGGGAAATCTACTGAACAAAAATATCACCACATGGCCACACCGAGATACTGTGTACTGCTACCATAATTAGAAACCGAAAGTACAACAGTACGCCTGTGCGTTGGTTTTGCTTCCTGTTTTGAAATGTTGTCTTATTTAAGAAGGAAGTGAAAAAGACAGTATGCGATACAGACTCTTTTTAATTCTTGTTGCCTTTGCGGTACTTTCCTGTCGTCTGGAAACGATTGAAGGTAATACACTTCATTTATCCGCCCTGGCCACTTGACCACTAATTTATCCGCCCTGGCCACTTGACCACTAATTGCCTGCTTATTACTTGATGACGCCAAACTGCGTCTTTTTTAATATTTGTTTGACAAAAAGTAACCAGTCTGAATGCGAAGAAAATAAACTGCTTTACTCAAAATGTGTTTCTCATTTTAGAATGTCCTTACTATGTTAATTGAAATGCTCTCAAATCTTCAGCACTTTAATGATGAACTAGATTTACAGTTATCTATGAAGTATAATAGTGTGGAATATTTTGTTGCAGTTTTGTTTATAACATCAATATTTGTATAGTGACCAGGGTTTAGTTGGCGATATTGAGTTTGGCAGGTAGTCCATTTATTTATGTAATACAGGTAATACTGATCATCAGACTGTCTTATCAAGGTGAGCTCACAACCCGATTAACCAATTAGTATCATGCCAAGACCACTAATCCCCTGTGACCAACAGGTTCCTGGCGAATTGTGTGTACATAGACTAGGCCCCTGACTGGTAGTGTAATCACAGAGATTATTAAAAAGAGTTATCACTAGCTACCTACCTTTGTTATGATAATGAGTACATATATACATAATGTAGAAAAAATAGTGAGATGTGATCTGTTTTAACTGAAGTTTTATTTTCTCATAAATTAATGCCTATGTAATAAATACAACTTAGTTTTATGATATTTATTTTAAAAAGGTACTGGTACATTTTTATGATTAACTTCTTCCATTCCATACCGCTGTTCTTATTCCCATTTGAATATATTCTGTGGTCAAAACTCAATTTTTTCGGATACAGAATTTTTGATTCAGGATATTTTTCACAGAGTATGAAGTACATGAGATAACCACCGCGTATATTTTTAGGTCATCTATGCTGTTCTGGTCTATTCTGTTCTATTCTTCTTATTTGTAACATACCTGGAATGGTCCTGAAATTAGCAATATTATTCAATATTGCAAAATCACTGTCATGCACATGGTTGGGAGAGGACATTTCAAGATGACAGAACAGTCATGTAAACTATCGAGGAGCTGTGTACTGTATGTACTTTTATCTGGTGTTTTGAAACACAAGTCATTGAAAACCCTTTTAGCTAAAGCTGTGATCCATGTAAGGGAATTATTTCATCTGTAAATTGAATTGTTTGCTGATTTGTGTCCGATTATATTATTATGCTTTGCCCTGTTGATGTTGCTTTTGTATACATTTCATCTCAACCTACTGGGGTCAAAATTGAGGTCACTGCTACATATTTGCATGTTCTATACTGAATTCATATAGAAAGTATTGTCTGATTGTCCTGAAATTTAAAAGGTTGAAAATTGAATTATGTATCACACCAGCTGCCCCACTTTCTAGATCTCTGCAAGATATATATTGGTATCAATAGTTGTTAGATTTAGGTTTATTAATGTATACTTAGACATTCAGCCCATTAAGTTTTACATGAGAGGTTATAGCTCGTTATGCTAATTGATTGTAATGAAAAGTAAATTTACTACACAGTACAACAACATACAAACTAATGAATATCTCACTAGAAAAGATGGTGAAAGGTTCTCGTCTTTTGTATATAAATAGCAAAAATTAAACATCATTATTTTGCAGGTCAGAACATAACACCAGTATATATCCAGATTAACACCCCCGTCACATTGACCTGTCCGGCTGATGACCAGGCTACGATTCTCAGTTGGACTGGACCCGGAGGTACCCTGTATGTCACAGGAACTACGGCTGACGCTGATCTTGATGACAATGTTAAATTACGGATATCTGCGAGACACACAGGAGGGAGTTATACACTCACATTTACAGAGTTCCGGTCGAGTGACATCGGGATATATAGATGTACGGTTGACGGGACAGTGGGTCTACAGATGGTCATTGTACAAGGTATGTATACGGGTGTGTCACACAGGAAAATTTTAGTCCAGGGATGCTAGGATATATACATGAACAGTGGAACTACAAATGGTCATTGTACAAGGTATTTATAAGAGTGTTTTTAGGACTGCCAATTTTTGCATATGGCTGTTTATGTAGAGTTTTATGTCATTGATGATGAAATGATTTATTTGGATATTTATGAATGATACTGCTTCACATTTGAGATCTTAACATTAAATTCATAACAAATATATATATGCAATTCAGCTCCCTTGGCCCAAAGGACTGTGAGCTTGTGCCAAAATGTGCGGAAGTGTGGCTGGAACTTCATTACCCACAATTCACTTACTGCAGCACACAATGATAACTGCCAACCCGTTGAATGGTTTAAAATTATTTTGACTGACAAAATATTGTTTCAAGCTCTTGTGTAGAAATGAAATCATACTAAAAGTCTTAAATAACTCAAATGGATTTAACAAATATATACTTTAATGGTTTTAAACGCATATAACAAATGTCTCGATGAAAAATTACAATTTTAACCATTCAAGATATGAGCACGATTATGCACCAATGTACCTGATTTCCGGTTTAACCTTCGGGAACTTTCATCACATTCAGTACGACATGGTCTTTTACATGAAAGCAGCTGAAAGGTACCGATTTGGCGAAAACCTGTCCTGTCTCCTAACTATATTCATTCTGCAAGATGTGGATATTCTTTTGATAAATATTTGAAATTAATTATGATCCAGTATATGAATGTTTAGAAATTTTCCAGCAGATACATTTAAGGCACGATGATAAGATTACTATTAGTGATGAGTTTTTAAAATGTTTTTTGTTGGTTTTTTTTTTTAGAAAAATGCAATTCATGTAATTATTGTGACTTTAGAATTTCATTTAAACATTCACATTGATATTGATTTTCTGAATTACAATGTATAACACAATAGTCTCAACAGTGTTTATAACTTCACCCTCTTTTTGCTATCAAGACAAGTCAACATTGCTTAAAAAACTGAAGGCGCGAAAGTATTTTATGATTTGTAAATAACAGAATGAAAAATTCAACAGCAGAGAGAACAAAAAAACATGGTAGGTAACCTTCTGTTGTCAATAATGAAAACTAAAACTATATTGTCTTTCACAATATTTTGACTACAAACTCTTTTTTAAATCCAAGTCAACATATAGTCCTCACTGCAGTATCTTTTTCTCTGGAAGGGAAACTCTTGTACATTTATTTTGAAGACTTTTTTATCATTTTTTTTAGTCTAGATTTGTTGTTAAAGACTTTATTAATAGATTTACTGTTACCATTGAAACCATTCAAGATAATTGCTCAAAACTTTTTACACTTATTAGGCTTGTAGTTTCTTTGCTGTGGGGAAATTCGCCATTTAAATACTTTCTCTATTACCATAGAAACAGAAAGGCCAAATCACAAAGTTCAGGTTTTTTCAGACCAGTTCTCTTAAACCATTCAAGGTAATTACTGTTTCTCAAAACTTTGTACAGGCATCTAGTTAGTACTCTAGCAGAAGTTCTCAATTTCAATACTTTGTATAGAATTATTTGAATTGAACCCCGGACGGCGAAGTGAAAGACAAGTGTGTTACAACTGTGCCTCCAAATCATTGACTGATCATGTTGATACATTGTTTTCTAAAAGATCAACAAGAAGAAGATGTGTTAATGACGATGATGTTGTTTATGATGATGATGATGATGTATTGACACATTTGTATGTGCAGATATTTTGTTAAAATCTTGCGAAATATACAATTTTAAAAACACGCTTCAGTGCAGACATGGATCAGGCTGTTCAAAAAGTGCATCTTGTTGACCAACTTGAGCTCGCTTTTATGCAGGGCCTATTTCATATTAGGAGAAATAGATATACAAGTCTTTGAAATACCTTTTCTTTCGTTTAGATGTAACAATTTCAGCAGACTGAACTAAGTTATATAGCTCACATGGTCAGAAAGAGTAGTGAGCTTATGCCATGATGCAGCATCTGTTGTCCTTTGTCAGCTGTTTTAGTCTTCTGACTTGTAGGGCCTGGACACCTTGAATTGTATTTTTTTGGAAGCCTGTAAGGTTCCCTGTACTACGTATTGGATATAATGAAACATGATTCAAATATTAATTAATTTACATGGTAGAGCAAACTCAGAATTGTCTCTGTTAATGAAAGAAGAGGAAACAGAATATTGTAAGACTGTGAAGTAAAAGCAAGGTAGTCAGCATCTTATGACTGCAAAATGCTAAACTTGAAGATAGTTAATAAAAGCGAAGGGTGCAGGCATTCTGATGATGAAATGGAGCAAATTTTTCTTCTACATGAATGTCAGTATTCTGTACAAATTTGGTCTGAATCATACTAGTCTTCACTCTAGTATGCTTCAGAATTATTGTTGTATAAACATTGGGTCTAGACTCCCTGGAGCTGGAAAGATGGGGCCAAATCAGGGGAGAAGAGCAAATTCTTTAAAATTCTTCTTCTTTAGAAATAAAGATTCCGTCAATGTTGCAATGAATGATAGAGACTTCTATATAAATGGTTTGGCAGACCATCTAAGGACAGAGGTTTTGGGGCCCAAAAGGGGAATGAGTATAAACTTTTAAAACTCTTTTACCATTAGTGCCGACTTCTTGATGGGGATATGGAAATAGGCGTCCTTCAGATCTACCGAAGTTGCCCACATTCCGTTCCTCATGGAGGCAATGATGCCCTGTGGGGTTTTCATCTCAAAGTGAGGAGAATCTACGTGCCTGTTGAAGGTACTGAGATCTATGATTGGACGCCACACCCCGGACTTCTCATTCGGAAATAGAAACTGAGGGTGATTTCCAACATAGGAATCTTCTCTATCGCACTCTTTGCAAGCATGGTCCCTACTTCCTTCTGTATCGCCCGAGCCTTTTCCAAATCTCCTGGAGGAGAAAGAAAATCGGTTGGGCAGTAAGGAGCAGATCCCGAAAAAGGGATTACCTAGACCCTCCTTGACCACTGACAATGCCCAAGCGTCCTCCGTAATCTCCTGCCACTGGGACAGGAAAGCAGAGAGATGCCCGCCCCCAGAGAAAGTTCCGAATGGGGCAGATCACACTCGGTATGTGGAGCGAACAATGGTCGTGGGTTTTAAGCAAAAACCGAGTAAAGAATTACTCGGCTACAAGGAGAACTTAATACTACAAAAAAGGAAAGCACTCATCTGTGAGTAGCACGTCCGCCCGCTCCGGTAGCCATAAAGGAAAGAGGAAGGGAGATCACTCTATGTTCCTGAAGTGAAGGCTCATGGATCGTAGGGAGGGCGGGACTTTTTAATCTTTCGTTTTTGGGATACAAAGATGGGTGTAGGTACCATATTTGCATACTAAAGTTATGGTAAGTATTACCTCATGAAAATTGATTTTACATTAAAAAACCTCAATTTCATTCCATTAAAAAATTCTGTTGACGGATTAGGCTTAGGTATAACAAGTGTTTTCAATACATTTATTCTGCTGATAATAGTTAAATCTTGTACTACCCAAAGCCTTAGCATTTTTTCAAACTGATTCAAAGTGTGTTCATAATTTATTTCATCCATCTCATCCAGATTCAAGGAGAATGTGATACCTAGAAGTCTAAAATTTCAGTTGACCAAGTTAGGTTTAGGTCTGGACAAATGATTTCATCTGAGAATTTTTTATTGCCTATTCAATAAAGTCGGGACTTTGCTAAATTTGCTTTTAAACCGGATATGGTAGAAAAATCTTCAAGTATGTATACAGCTTCGTATAGTGATTCACTTTTACCATCTAACAGGAGATATGCATCATCTGCGTAGTGTCCTCGTAATACCTTTTTGTCAACAATTGTAAGAGCCCCAATCATTTGGTAAGACTTTATCATTAAAGAAAGTAGCTCAACCCCAATAACAAAGATGTAGGGAGATATCGGTTGCCTTGACGACAGCCTCTTTCCAATTTGAAGAAATGAGAAAGATTCAGCTGCCATCGTTTTATTTATATTCCTTTTTTCTAGACGGCAAAAATATTTTCTGTTCTTTTCCCCATATTCGTACCAATTTACCTTTGATCTAAAAATAAGACTCTCTGTTTTTTGTCTACGGATATTTTCTAACTGATTTTTCTTCCCTTCCAGAGTTTCATAAACTTCACTGCTTGACTCAATGTTAATTCTTTCTTCTAATGTTTCAATTTCTGATTCTAAATTCTTTTCTTCAATTTTTCTTGCTTTTGATTTGGCTATAGAATAGGCAATAGTCATAGTTCTGAGTTTCATTTTCAAAATTTCAAATAACATTTGATCATTTGTTCTGAAAGTCACCTCCTCCAAATTCTCCCTATCACCAGAAACACAGTATTCATCTATTGTCTCATTAATGCATATTTTCACTTTTTCAATACACTCCCCATCTTCCAATAACTTTGAATTATATTTCCAATATCCCTTACCTCTAGGAAGGTTGTTAAGATTTATCTGAATAGTAACACAAGTGATCTGATTTATATCCTGGAATTATGTTAGTATCTTTTGTCCTAGGATATATCTCTTTTGACACTAGATAGTAATCTGACCGACTCTGTCTAACAGGTGTTTTTTGCGTCCATGTACAGGCCTTTGACTCAGGGTTAAAACTTCTCCATGGATCAACAAGATTACATGCATCAATAATATTATGAATAGCTTGCTTACATTTTGGGTTATCATTTTAGCAGAGGTCATTATTTATTTCAATGCCTCCACTAGGAATCAAATCCGGGACCTCTGACTTACTAGTCTGACGCTCAACCAATCGAGGTAAAGAGAAGTTCTCTCTAGCCGAGTGGTATATTGCAGCTGGTATTTTACCAGGGTCACACACTCCCCCTCCAGGAAATGACTTGTTTTCAAGTTTTCAGAGATTACAGTGATGCTGGTGGGGTATGGCTAAAAATGCATAGCAAGAAAGCAGTGTGTACACTACTCAGCAGCCTTGTTGAATCCTCAATTGACTTATCGCCATGTTTGTGTTGATATCCATATATGTTGTTATAAAGCAATGAACTATTCGATTGATTAAATAGATACTTGCCTTGTTGATGTCTTAAGCTCAGTTATTTGCAAAGAATATTGAATACCAAATGAACAAAGTTTATGCCCCCTTTTTTTGCAGAAGAAAATATTTGGCATGAAGTATACAAAATCTGTTCTTTATATTTAAGGTGTGACATCAGCCAGTCCAGTATACACCAGACAGGGAGGAACATTAACATTACAATGTCCTGATACTGGTGGTAGTACATCATGGGTTGTCACTTCTACTGGATTTATTTACGCCAGCGGAACACGAATCAACCCGAACCTAGCAGACCCAATAAAGACGAGACTCGCTGTTAACAACGAGAGTGGAATCTATAGCCTACAGATCAGTAATGTACAACTGTCAGATGTCAGGGAATACAGATGTGTTGTTGGAGTATCAGACACATTCTATCATCTACTACTGTACAGTAAGTTATATCAGATTGGTTATACAGACACATTCTATCATCTATTACTGTACAGTAAGTTATGTCAGATTGGTAATACAGACATATTCTACCATCTACTACTATACAGTGAGTTATGTCAGATTAGAAATACAGACACATTCTATCATCTACTACTGCACAGTGAGTTATGTCAGATTGGTAATACAGACACATTCTATCATCTATTACTGTACAGTAAGTTATGTCAGATTGGTAATACAGACATATTCTACCATCTACTACTATACAGTGAGTTATGTCAGATTAGAAATACAGACACATTCTATCATCTACTACTGCACAGTGAGTTATGTCAGATTGGTAATACAGACACATTCTATTATCTACTACTGTACAGTAAGTTATGTCAGATTGGTAATACAGACATATTCTACCATCTACTACTATACAGTGAGTTATGTCAGATTAGAAATACAGACACATTCTATCATCTACTACTGCACAGTGAGTTATGTCAGATTGGTAATACAGACACATTCTACCATCTACTACTATACAGTGAGTTATGTCAGATTGGTAATACAGACACATTCTATTATCTACTACTGTACAGTAAGTTATGTCAGATTGGTAATACAGACACGTTCTATCATATATTACTGTAAAGTAAGTTATGTCAGATTGGTAATACAGACACATTGTATTATCTTCTACTGTACATTAGCTGAAGTTTTCAAAAAAAAAAAAAAAAATCATGACAACTTTATTGATTCATGTTACAATTTATCGTTTTAGTGGTATTTTTATCCTCATTAGAATTTCCTGATCATTATAGATATTTACCCTCTGACTAAATGAATCTTCTTCATTTAACATAAATCCCATTAATGTACTGTCAGGTTCTTTTTGCTGAGTCACCAATTTGACCATGTATATGATTGACTTATTGTCTTGGCTTATATTTTCACTTTGTGCAGTTCCTCCAGATTTTCCTAAGATAGAAAACACAGTCAGTGTTGAAGGTCAGAACAGAACTATAGGAACGGAGGATGGAAGTATGAACTTGACATGTAATGCATTTGGTGGTACTCCAGCGTCTAATGTGTCGTGGATTAAAGGTGGCGTCATCTTAGTGACATCAGCCAATGCAGTACAGTACAGAAAGGTCTTCACGCGAGAAGACGACAGAAATATGTATACATGTCAGTCTAGTAGTCCAGCCCTGACCAGTTCTCAGACCACCAGTGTGTTGATATACCTAGATTGTGAGTATAGAGTGTGTGCACATGTCAGTCTAGTAGTCCAGCCCTGACCAGTTCTCAGACCACCAGTGTGTTGATATACCTAGATTGTGAGTATAGAGTGTGTACGCATGTCAGTCTAGTAGTCCAGCCCTGACCAGTCCTCAGACCACCAGTGTGTTGATATACCTAGATTGTGAGTATAGAGTGTGTACACATGTCAGTCTAGTAGTCCAGCCCTGACCAGCCCTCAGACCACCAGTGTGTTGATATACCTAGATTGTGAGTATAGAGTGTGTCCACATGTCAGTCTAGTAGTCCAGCCCTGACCGTTCCTCAGACCACCAGTGTGTTGATATACCTAGATTGTGAGTATAGAATGTGTCCACATGTCAGTCTAGTAGTCCAGCCCTCACCAGTCCTCAGACCACCAGTGTGTTGATATACCTAGATTGTGAGTATAGAATGTGTCCACATGTCAGTCTAGTAGTCCAGCCCTCACCAGTCCTCAGACCACCAGTGTGTTGATATACCTAGATTGTGAGTATAGAATGTGTCCACATGTCAGTCTAGTAGTCCAGCCCTCACCAGTCCTCAGACCACCAGTGTGTTGATATACCTAGATTGTGAGTATAGAATGTGTCCACATGTCAGTCTAGTAGTCCAGCCCTCACCAGTCCTCAGACCACCAGTGTGTTGATATACCTAGATTGTGAGTAAAGAATGTGTCCACATGTCAGTCTAGTAGTCCAGCCCTCACCAGTCCTCAGACCACCAGTGTGTTGATATACCTAGATTGTGAGTAAAGAATGTGTCCACATGTCAGTCTAGTAGTCCAGCCCTCACCAGTCCTCAGACCACCAGTGTGTTGATATACCTAGATTGTGAGTAAAGAATGTGTCCACATGTCAGTCTAGTAGTCCAGCCCTCACCAGTCCTCAGACCACCAGTGTGTTGATATACCTAGATTGTGAGTATAGAATGTGTCCACATGTCAGTCTAGTAGTCCAGCCCTCACCAGTCCTCAGACCACCAGTGTGTTGATATACACTAGATTGTGACCACCAGTGTGTTGATATACCTAGATTGTGATGTGTCCACATGTCAGTCTAGTAGTCCAGCCCTCACCAGTCCTAAGACCACCAGTGTGTTGATATACCTAGATTGTGAGTAAAGTGTCCACATGTAGTCCAGCCCTGACATGTGTGTTGATATACAGATTGTAGTATAAGAGTGTGTACATATGTCAGTCCTCAAGCCTTCACCAGTCCTCAGACCACCAATGTGTTGATATACCTAAATTGTGAGTATAGAATGTGTCCACATGTCAGTCTAGTAGTCCAGCCCTCACCAGTTCTCAGACCACCAGTGTGTTGATATACCTAGATTGTGAGTATAGAGTGTGTGCACATGTCAGTCTAGTAGTCCAGCCCTGACCAGTCCTGAGACCACCAGTGTGTCGATATAATCACACAGCATACTATTAACATACTGAGGCATCTGTTTTTCACAAAATGCTAAACTCATGAACAACTGAGGGGATTTAGATCACATTTTATTAGAAGCATCCTTAAGGTAACAGTAGCATATTTTGTATATTAATGTGTCCTTTTCCCCTAGGCTAGAGGGGAAGGGCCAAAAGGAGGAATTTTGCTAGTTCTTTAAAATCTTATTCCTCCAACAAAGCAAAGAGGAGAATACTGAAATCATCCATCTGTCATGTCCATACAAGTCCTTTTAGACTCCCAGGCTGCAATGAAACTTAATGAAATGAAATTTAAGTGCCAAGGGCATGGACACTTAGTATGATGGATTGATATCAGAGAATGATTGGATTTTGCCTAAATTTGGTCAGAAGCATCTTTAGGTGAAAGAAAAACAATTATTGCATAAATAGTGAATCTTGGACCCTTTTGGTGGGATAGGTGGGCCCACTATTGGCAATAGATTAAATTCTTTAAAATCATACTCCTCCTTTATTAATCATTGGGTTCTGCCCAAATTTGGTCAGAAGCATTTATTGGTGAAGGGAAATAACTTTTGTATAAATGATAGATCTCGGCCCCTGGGACGAGAAGGGAGGGACCCAATAATTGAAATAGAGTAGATATTTAAAAATCTTACTCCTTCAATTTTATGTAATTGGTGGATCTTGGTTTCCCTCGGTGGAAGAGGCAGGACCCAATAGGGGAAACAGAGTAAATTCTTTAAAATCCTTCTCCTTCTATTGGAATGATTGTCAATAAATAATGCATGTTCAGATCACACAACTGAAGCAATTCTGACTGGTGCTGTTATATTTCTTATTGGTGAAGAGTTGAATGTTTCACATGGACAACTATGGTAGATGGTTGATCGCTTTTAGCACCTTCCCTCAGCAGCTCCTAATGCCTCCTTCAAAATTGTTTTTTAAGCCTCCATCGGTCATGAACTTTCATTGGCTTCACAATGTAGGCTTTGAGTATATCATGGGTTTATTTCACTATATTTATTCTCTCCTGGTGGTGATGACAACTAATTGATTGAACCAGTCATTAATGTACATATCATAGTGATCCTACACTGTAACCTGATGTATAAATGGTATGCAAGTAAATTGAGATTTTTTCATGTAAAACCAATTTTCATGATGTAATACTTACCCTAACTTTAGTATGCAAATACAGTACCTACACTCATCTTTGAATCCCAACAGCAAAAGATTTGAAACAATCCCACTCTCCCTACAATCCATGAGCCATTACAGCAGGAACGCAGTGATCTCCCTTCCTCTTATAACCTTTATAGAGTACCCCACAGAGGGGCAGCCAGGCAGATAAGGAAAAGGGGAGGATAGGGTGGGACTCCATAAAATTATGGTAAGTATTACATCATGAAAATTGGATTTACATGAAAAAACCTCAATTTCATTTCAGTAATAATTACCATAACTTAAGTATGCAAATTCGTCTTACTGTAGTGGTGACTAGAAGCCAGGCAGCCCATCCAGCTCAGACAAAGTAGTAGGGAAGGAGAACAGAGTGCCAAAGAGAAGGAAGGGACCTCTCTATAAAAGAGCAGGTGTACCCACATGCTGCTGTACGGAAAGACATGCCTGTGTCTTTCTGCTCTAATCAGAGGACACAGCAAGGCCCAGCCACTGGCTATGCCACCACAAGAGGTCCCAACGAATAAAGGCCCTCTGAGTGGAAAGCTAAGGATCCCAGATAGAAATCTATGAAGGTATCCCTGCCCGGCCAGAATGCTGCAGACATCACCTCCTGAAAGGAGGACCCATTGAGATGGGCCCAGGACACAGCAAGGGCCCTGACCTCATGAGCCCGCATTTTCACTTTCGCCCAAGCCTGATCATTAGAATGCTCATAACCATACTTAATCCAATGGCAAATCCTCTTGGAAACCGAGTGGGAGGAGATGTCTCCTTGTCCCTGTTTGATGGGCAAAAACAGACAGGCAGACTCTAGATGCTCATAAGGAGCCCTAGTCATTGAATCTAGCACCAGGACCAGATTCCACTGTAGGGTCAGCTGCCAAACTCTGGGTCTATCCAGAGCGAAGCCTCTGATTAGAGCAGAAAGAGAGGAGGAGGAACCTATCTCTTTTCTGCCATAACAGGCAAGGACACTGGCAATAGCTGTACGATAGTCAGCAATAGTGCCAGGTGCCAGATGGTGGTCCCTAAACAGAGAGAGTAGGAAATCCACAATCAGCTGCCCAGAGATCTGACACCTCTTGAGAAAAGCCTACCTTGGCGAGGCTTCCAGAGATAGCCTCCAAGCGTGAAGGTGGAGATTCTCTGGTCAAGAGTATGTGTTGTTCTGGACCGAGGCTGGAGTAGCAGATTCGGTCTGGTGGGGAGAGCCAAGGGCTACTCCACCAGAAATGACAAGAGCTCCGGAAACTAAGGTTGCCTCCGCCACAGAGGTAAGGAACAGTGATACTCCTGGAACTTCTGTAGCACTCTGTCCACAAGGTTGATGGGAGGGAATGCATATGCATACATCTCATCCCAGTCCAGAGAAAGGGCGTCCACAGCCCAAGCCTTTTGGTCAGGGACCGGGGAGACGAAGGTTGACAGCTGGTTGTTCAGGGAAGTGGCAAACTGGTCTATAAGAGATCTGTCCCACACCTAACAAATCCCCTTGAAAAGCAAGGGACACAGCTGCCATTCCGTCAACTCAGGCTGGCGGCACCTGTAGAGAGTGTCCACCAACACATTCAGCGTGCCAGGAAGATGCTTGACCACTATGGTCAACTGCATGTCCTGGCAGAGAAGAAGGATGCGGATGGTGACACACAGGATGTGAGACCTGGTGCCCCCTGCCTCTCCAGATACTCGACAACTGTAGAGTTGTTGGTAGCCACCCAAATAACTTTGGATTGTAGGATACCCTGAAAGGACTGCAGTGCCAAAAGAACAACCTTCATCTAGAATACATTGATGTGCTGTCATGGACGCATCCATGAACAGGATCATAGAGGGGAAAGGCTAGGTCAGAGGCACCCCACAGGAAACGTTCTCCTGAATGGTCCACCAGTGAGCAAACTCCCTGACCGAAAGCGGAATCTAGGCCTCACACTCCTGGATGACGGAACCCATTCGGACAGGAGGAACATCTTGAGAGGTCTAATGTGATGCCTCCCTAGGCGGACCACATCTGCCAGGGAGTTGAGATACCCCAGAAAACTGAGGAACCAACGTACCTGGACAAGCAACCAAGCGATGAAGGTCAGAGCCATAGCCCTAGCCTTCTCGAACTTCACCAAAGGCGGAAGGGCTTAGCCCTGAACCATGTTCGAAATGGTTCCCAAGGAAGATGCAGTCCTGAGATAGGGAAAACTCAGGGAATGAAGCCGAATCTGAGTAAAAGTTTCAGGACCAGACGAGTGACCTTCACTAGCGATTACCTCACCAACCAAGCATTAGGAAGTCATCGAAATAGATGTGGACCTCTATTCCGCGTGAGCAAAGGAATCCCACAACCACCTGCAGCAACTTGGTGAACACCAAAGGAGCTGTCGTGAGCCCGAAGGGCCTCGCGCCCTTGGCAAACATGGTCCCTACTTCCTCCTGGAGCACCCAAGCCTTTTCCAAATCCCCCCCCCTCCCCCCCGTAGGAGGAAAGACAATCAGCCGGGCGGTGAGGGGTTGATCCTGAAGAAGGGGAATACTTAGGCCCTCCTTGTCACCTACCAAGCCCAAGCGTCCTTTGTGATTTCATGCCACTGTGGAAGGAAAGCGGAGAGACGTCCGCCCACAGGGAGTTTCGGATGGGGCAGATCGAGCCCCTGCCAAACCAACGAATCATCTGCTCACCCGGAGTCTGAGCCTGTGGGAGAAGGACGAGAGCCTGGAACAGGAGGACCGACCTCCACCCGGCCATGCCCTTGGTCTGTTGCGGCCAAGGAGCAGAAAGAGTCAGGAACCCTTCTTCTTGCCCCCAGGAGGTTTCTTACCATTCCTACCCTTCCCCTTGTTGCCCTCGAAGTCAGGTTGGGACTTGGGCTGCGCAGAAGACTGAGCAGACGAAGACTTCACCCTATTCTTAGGAGGCACTGGCCTTCTCGGCCTAAAACCTCTTCACCAGAAATGCTGAGGTGACTGAGTCCTCCTTCATATCCTTTGAACCCAAGCAAGTGCTCCCCTGAACAGGGTAGAGTCTAGAAGGGAGCAGTCAACGAGCGGGAACGGTAGTGTTACTCGACTAGGTAGGTTTTCAGAACTGAAAACCACCTAGCCAATACGACATTGATGAGCAGGGAGACTTGCAAGGCTGCAGATGCTCTCAATGCCGCATTCAGGGCAGAGGTGAGTCTGTCCTGTATGTCGGCCTGTTCTGTCTCAGATAATCGACACTCAGGCAAATCAGATACCCTGTATAGACAAACTGTCAGGAAGTCTATGTATGAGTGAGCACCACATGGTCCACTGATTTGTCGGGCCAGGCAGCCAGCTCTTTCAACTCCAAATGTGCAGGTTGAGAGGCTAGCTGCCCTTTGTATGTGGCATAAGTACCATAATTGACAATTGCCTACACCAAGCTGCAGACCGGCAAACCCTAGAGCGCGGGTAGAGGAGGAGACCTTCTCTTAAACCCGAGCCCAGGCAGTGGCCAGAGACGAAGACATGATAGTGCCTTCTGGCAGAGACCGATCTGAGCAAACAGAAGCCCGAGGAGCCACTAGAGAGCCCAGAAGGGTGGTGGATTCGGGCACTGACGATGCAGAAGGCAGTGGGCAAAACTTGAGAATCTGGCCCGCATCCCCAAAAGCATATGCCGAGCCTCGGCTTCAGCAGTCTAAGGGCCATCTACCCCCTGGGAACCCTCCTGGCCGGGAGTATGGATCAATCGAGCACCCAGAAGAAAGATGAATGACATCATCTTCCTCTACAGAGCCAGCGCCCTCGATGTCCATCTCCTCCTCAATTGGGACTGAAGTCCCCTTGGGAGGAACAGGGGCCGCCAGAGGACTCCTCTATACGGCATTCAGATGCAGAGCGTCTTAACAGTCGTAGCTGTAGGCTTGGGTCGGAGACCCGAAGCTTACCCCTGGGAACAGGAGACCGACGGATCCGCGCTGGAAGTGGAAGTCCTAAAGGTCCGGTGAACCTTTTTAGGACTGGCCGACAAGGTCCCCGACGTAGCAGAACGTTGGGGGGGATTCTGCACTGCTATAACATCTCCTAGAGGTAGAGAGTAACCCCATGGGTTCCAGGAGGGAAGACCCATGGGGTTAAACCCAAACCCCTGAGGGAATGGGAATGGTCTCATGGGCTGGGAGTGACCCCAGAACGGGCCAAGATGGCTGGGGCTGGACACCCTGTCCAAAGGACCAGGATGAACCGCCACTCCCACCAGGTGCAAACCCAGATATGCTGGGTAACTGTTGGTACCCAGAACCATCCGCAGGTTGGCCTGGGCAGCCCAGGAATAAGTGCCCGTAGGCACCCCGGCAACCAGAGCCCGGGGGAAAGGGAGACCGGAAACCAGATGCCTAGCCTGAAGCCCCAAACGCTTGGGGGAAACCCCCAGGTAAACACTACACCAGGAAATCTGGACTGGAGTGGAAAGTCCCAGAGCCAGAAGCCTGTGAGGGTGGGAAAACAGGCCCCACGCTGACACCAGGATTAGTGAACTAATCCCCGTAGCCGCAGACAATAATGACAAAAAGTCTGTGGCCCGTGACCCAATACCCGAAGATACAGGTCCAGACTGAAAGTGGCCCCCACCAACAACGCCACCTGGCGTATCGAGGTCCCTGAAGGAATCAGAGACCTGCGACCGGAAGTCCCTTTCTGATGGTAACAATGGCGGCTATCGAGAGCCACTGGCCAATTCGACCCTAGACTGCACCGAGTCAGGGTCGGGGTGCCCCCCTCCCCCCTCTACTGCAGTATGCAGCTGGACAGGGGGAGCCACCCGCTGCTCAAGGGCGGAGCTTGGCGGAATGAAAGCACCCTCAGCAGGAACGCCCAAAACACCTACTGGTTCAGAACCTGAGGATGAGGACTTATTTCATTTACCAGAAGAAGAGGACGAGTCCCTTTTCCTGCGGAAGTTCACTGGACAGGCATGGGAGCCTATGCAGCAGACCCCATGTGCAAACAAAGTTCACATGGCGAGGTCTGGCTGCAAGGTTGGCAAACAGGACAGGCATCCTGGGGGTCCCGTTTTCCATAGAAATGGGAACACCCCTGCACTGACCCCGGACGTAAACCCGACACTATTATCCATTATCGAAACAACAAAAATTGTAACAATGAAAACACGGCCAGAAATACGGTCAAAATGAACAATTGACAATACTTAATTTCACAATATAAGTTGGGAGATGGGTTTATAGACTACTAATAGAGTAACAATATACTCAAACGACAATGGCAATATGAAGAGAAGGAGTAAGAAAAGAACTTAGCTCAGGCACATCCGCACTCGTCGGCAGCCATAAAGGTGAAAGGAAGGGAGATCACTTGTCGTTCCTGCCGTGATGGCTCATGGAACGTAGGGAGGGATTGTTTCGAATCTTTTGTTGTTGGGATACAAAGATGGGTGCAGGTACTGTAGTTGCATAATAAAGTTATGGTAATTATTACTGAAATGAAATTGGAGCTCGACTGTGGGCGGCGCAACACCATGCTTCAATGTTCAAACACAGAAGGTGAATAATACATATATGAAGTTTCTGGGCAGTTGCCTATCCGTCTTTATCTATCTATACCTCTCTGCTAATAGACAATTTGTTGTCATCTGGGCCTTTGATCAGTCAGTTATTTACTGCATGGTGAGCACATGCCTGGCATGCAGGGAACTCATTGCTTTGAAAGCAATAAAATGTTGTTATTCAAAACTGAAATATAGAAATTTTGTTTACTCTCATCTGCATCAAATACAACATATATGTCTGAAATTTGATTTTCTATGTAAAATATGCAAAATTGATTAGGGATAATAGCTACGCCCCATCTTAATTTGTTATTTAGAAATAGTTCATACTTGCTTAGAATAGATAAGATAGAATAACAGTTTGATGGTATGCATATATTGAACCTGGCGAGCCCCCAGGGGCGGATGTGTATGGCCAAGAAAGGATCATATTGACTGTAATTTCGAAAATCTTTATTCAATATACCCAAATATTTAAAAATTTAAGTGCTTCACCATAACTGAACATTTCATGTTCCCCAGGTCTCAAATTTTCATGGGAGGGATCAAGTATACAATTTGTACTTTAGTTTTTATAGGAAAATTACATTTTTGAGTATAATTGCTTTCAGTGTTACAGGAACAATGACAGCGTTATATAACTCAAGTGACAGTTTCACAATAACATTGATTTGATCCACATACACTTTCAGATGTTGGATCAATAACATCTTTCTTAATATTAGCTCTTGTTCCTTTATTACAGTGAAGCCGAGAAAGCCTACTATATCTGGCCAGATGTCCACGACAGTGAACACAAACCTACAGGTAGTGTGTGAGTCTACAGGAAGTAGACCTGCGGCCGACATTGAGTGGAATGTTGGGGGAACATGGCAGTCAAGTAATCCAACAGAGGTCAAGGTGATTGACAGTTCTACAGAAACCTACAACGTGACGTCAACACTCTCCCTCCAAGTCACACGTCCAGACGATGGGAAATCTGTGTACTGTAGAGCCAATAACCGGGCCTTATCTGGAGGGACTGAATCAGAACACAAGACTATAACAGTATTGTGTAAGTATATCATCTCTTACACAGGCACACATCAGAGCAATAGGAAGTCTGTGTACTGACAGGTGGCAATCTTGGATTTTTCTCAGGTTTCAAGTGTAGGTTTCAGTTGATCACTAGTTTTGACAGTTTCAGTTTATTGAAAACAGTCACTGTTTGCTCTTGATCATTTCATGGGACTACACTTTACTTTCTGTTTCACACCTACCTTAAAATTTCTGTATTTTTTTTTTTACTAAGGCAGCATACTGCCATTGAAATATCTGAGTTTTATTTAGCTAATGTATATGACTCATGGACACCTTGTTTTTCAACCCTCCATTATCAGATGGTTATTCAAATTGTCCTATGACAGGTTTCAGCCTGTCAGTAAACAATTTGTCCGGTGTTGTATGTCGTAAAAATAATTTCGACTTCTTCAGGAAAACTCTATTTCAATGAAATTTTACAAAAACATTTCATGCATAAAGGCACACAAACATTGTAGATTAAATGGTTGCCAACCTCCAAAGGCCAGAGGGGCATGGCGAAAGAGGGTCAAATTGATAGAAACTTCAAATCATCTTCTCAAATCCCAGGTATGGTAGAAACAAAAATTCTTCATGGATGGAAGTGTCTTATGGTGCTTTAAGAAGTTTTTAATTTCAGGACCCCAGGGTCTCACATTTCCCCTGCGGAATTTACTACAGTTTATATAGGAAAATAAATTTTCTGAGTATGATTTGTTTCTTTTCGGTTTGAAAATAGTATAATCTGACAATTTGATGAGATGCACATTTTGATCTTGGCTGACCCTCAGGGGCTGATGGGTGGGGCCAAACATGGGTTATATTGATTGAAATTTTAAATATCTCCTTCTCAGAACCCAAATTAAGTAGAAACAAATATTCTTCATGGATGGAAACTTGTAAATTTCATGACCCAACAGTCTCGCAGTTTCAATTACAACTTACTATTGTGCATCCTCCGTTGCCATGTGCTAAACGCTGTTAGCCATCTGTAAACAGTTACTCAACACCTTTCAACCAGATTTGGTCTGAAACATCATTAGGGGGATAATTTCTTAAATTCAAAAATTTGATTCCACCCTTAGTGATTTGGGGGTGGGGCCTCGAACGGGGAAATTAGATATTTTGCTTGAAAACACTACTTTTTCTTAATATCTCAGTAGATTTCAACCAAATTTTGTGTAAAACATTCTTGTAAGTGGGTTATCATTTCTTGTATTCAGAAAGTTGTTTCGACCACTAGGGACCTGCTGGCAGGCAGGATACTAAATAGGAAAGTTAGTCAATATTTTGCTTCAAAATGCTTTTTCTTAATCTTTATATGAATTTCAACCAAATTTGGTCTGAAACATCATTTAGAATGGGGAATCATGTCTTCAGTATAGACTGTTGATTCAACTTTAAGGGACCTTGGGGCAGGTGAGGCCCCAAATAGGAAAATCAATCAATAATTTGCTTTAAAGTGGCATTCTATATCAATGCTTGACTGGATTTTGACCAAATTTGGTCTGAAACATAATTGTGATTGGGGAATTATTTTTTAAATTCAGAAATTTATTTTGGCCCCTAATGGCTTGTGGAGGAGGTCCCAAAAGGGGAAGTTAGGCAATATTTTGCTTCACGATACTACTCTTTCTTAATGCTTGAATGGATTTCAACCAAATTTGGTCAGAAATATCAATGAGAGTAGGGAATCATTTCTCGAATTCAGAAAGATGATTTGATCCCTTGGGACCAAATTTTGCCAGAGAACTCTCAATTAAATCAAACATACATGAAGTGATCCTGAAATTGTCATGACCAAATCTTATTGTCATGCTTTGGTCCAAATTCCAACATAACTCATCTAGAACAAATAGTCTGAAATACTTAACAAGTTTCCTTCACACCAATGAGGAAAATGTTTAGAATCTTTTGATCTTTTAAGGAAAAGAAAGGGATGATTTTACAGTATGATCAAAACTTGAGTATGGTAACCACAGTAGTTATTTTGTTACATGATGGTTCAACTATTTTTCATGCACGGAGCCTACCATTTATGAGTTTCTGATACTTTCTATGAATATTAGAAATTCAAATTCATCAGATTTGTCAGACCACCATTAGTGAATTCTGTAGTTTTGTCAATTCATTCATCGATTGTCAGATGACTTGTTGAGCATAATATGTTTATTTTCTTTTATAAATAAATCAAACTTGGTAAAAACCATTAGTAGAAGATGATAGTTTGATGAGCTGCACTTATTGACCTCAGCTGACCAACAGGGGCTGATAGCCGGGGCCAAAAATGGGTCAAATTAACTGAAATTTCAAAGATGTTCAGCTGCAATCATGGATGGAATAGTTTATGTAGAAGTTCAATTTTTGAATGTAATTTCTTTTAATTCAACCTTAGCATGACACAGCAGTTAATATTATGCACAATTTACATTTGTATTATGTGTACAATGTAGTTAAAGTTGTCTTAATTTTTAAACACATCATTTCTATGACATGTTACAAGAGACATTTTGACTCAGGCCATTAAAGCACTTTGGACTCTTGTTTGTTATCTCTATTTCTTTAGAAGTGATGGATGGATCTTTCTCAAATTTCCAATTTAGGTTCCCCATGGCCCAAATTTGTAGCATTGTATTTTTGGGACTGTTCAGAAAAGCAAAATGGCTCACAGATGACCATCTTGAATTTTGACATTTGTTATTGCTATTTCCTGAGAACACCTGCATAAGTCTTTTTCAAATTTCATGTGTAGGTTCCCTTTGATCTATGGTTGTGCTTGTTTAATTTTTGGGACTGATTAGAAAAGAAACCACAATGGCCAACATATGACCATCTTGGATTTGGACTTTAAAAGTTTGTTATCTCATGGATCTTTCTCAAATTTCATGAGTAGGTTCTCCCTGATCAGTAGTTTTACCTGTTTGATTTTGGGATTGATGAAAAAAAAGCCAGTGGGTTTTGACATTGAAAGTTTATTATCACTATTTCTTGAGAAATGCTACACAGATCTGTCTTAAATTTTATGTATAGAATCCCTTTGATCCCTAGTTTTGCCTGTTTGATTTTGCGACTGGTCAGCAAATGCAAAAAGGCTTGGATTTTGTAGTTAAAGATTATTATTACTATTTCTGCAAAAGATTAATATTCAAATTTCTTACGAATAAGAGCAAACACAGAGAAGAGAAAAGAAAGAAAAAGATCCAACTTTCAAAGAACAAATAAAGATCAAACAATGGTGGGCACCAAGATCCCTTTGGGGTCTCTTGTTGATTTAGATGAGATACCAAGATGCAGGATTTTGATAATCTTGTTTGAGAAGTAACTGATGGATCGTTTTCAACTTTCATATGTAGGTTCCCCTTGGTTCCTTGTTTTGACTATAGGAATTTTGGACAGATCTGAAAAACAAAATGGCTGACTAGCACCTACCTTGGATTTTGATTAAGAATGTTAGTTATTTCTGTTTCTATTGAATGCTTGAAAGACCTTTCTCAAATTTCTATGTAGGTTCCCATAGGTCCCCAGTTGTTCCCATTTGATTAAAGGCAAGAAAAAACAAAAAATTTAATCATTTAGTACCTTAAAATTAGAAAGCTTATGTTCTTTTTTAACAGCACCTAGAGACCTGAAGTTGGTATATGTATCTTAATTTACAGATCCTCCTGACATACATATCAGTTACACCAACATCACCTACATGTCGTCAGAGAGTGTATTGACATGTATCTCAGACGGTAACAGACCTTATTCCCCTTTAAGAGGTCACAATATCGTTTGTCAACTGTGCTAAGCGGCATGTAAATTCACTACTGACCCTAACTTATATATGTACATCTTGTTCTCAGATCCTCCTGACATACATATCAACTATGTCAATGTCACCCACATGTCGTCAGACAGGATATTGACATGTTCCCCTGATGGTAACCCGGCCATGTACCAGTTTAGACAATGGACACAAACGGCGGAAGATGGTACAGTGATACGTCAGTTTACCGGAATTTCCAGTTCCACAGAGTCGATCCTAACCTTACCTGATTCTGATATTACACGTCGGTATGAGGACACAGGGTACTACATATGTTCAGCCTCCAATGGCATTCCAGGCTCCGCTTCATACACATCCGGATCAGTCTTCTTTGTGGTAGAAGGTACTTAAATGTAATTAATATTGATAATATATTAATAATGATGTTTGATTAAATGAGATTAGTTCACCTGTTCTGGATAGATCAAGGTGAGCTAATGCTGACCTCCACTTCCATCTTCTGTTCACCATGTCAAAAATTTCTTAAAACAACTTTTATTTTTTTTAACCACTAATAGTAATAGCAAGTCCAAAGGATCAAGTTAGCTTATTTCATACCACAGCATCCAGGGTCCATCTGTCAACTTTTTCTACAATTTGTTACTTGTCATAAACGACTGATCAGCTATTAACCAAATTCAGTCAGAAGCAACCTTTAGGGAAGGGAACAAATTTAATATAAATGGTATGTCTCTGCCTCAAGGCTGGCCTGAAAGTTGGAACCTAAAAGGAGGTATTTTGAAAATTCTTTCAAATCCGAATTCTCTTGTAGGAATGGTGAGATTTTGCCAGCATTTGGGCTGAAGCATGCTTGGGTGAAAAAAACTGTCCTACTTCCATGGCCAAACAGTATATTTTTTCTTAAAACACAAGTTTCACTGAGTCCATTGTTGATGCATACTAATCATATTTATTCAATATATGTGAACTGTTTGACTGATAAACAAGCTCTATATCACAAGTTCTCATGACATGATGCATATGTAGTTCCATTAAGGTCACAGGATAACACAATATTGTCTACAAATGAATTGCACTTCACTTGTCACCTGTATGAGTTCTTCAGTGTACAGTTACATGTTTTGGATATCAAACTCCATAGGAAATAGCATATATGGTAACTATAACAGCTGGATTCCTGTTGATTTATGGTTTTTTCTTTACCTTGGATTTTCAATCAGTATCATGTTGTTTGGTACTTAAATTTAATGTCATTAACTCCGGGTATGTGTTGTAAACCTCTGCCTAGAGCAGTGCTCCACTGTTGGACTATATTCAACAAAAGAAATGGAAGGTATTTTAGTGTGGAGTTTCACAACAGACAGTCAAAATCATAAGTCTTGTCTATGCTCCTGTGAGAAAAAGGTTTATGCTTTTCCCCCTGATCCTGTACAGGTAGTTTACTAATCATTTGTCTCGAATTGCCTTTGATTTATTATAACATCAGAACAAATTATTCACCAATTCATAGGGAAAATTGATTATATACTTCCTTATAAATTACATTTAGATCACATGATCTTCATATCAAATCATAATATAAATTGCCAGTGTTGTAAGTTTCAAACCTCTGACATGGTCTTCACTTACTGAAATATCTATCTCTATATCCCTAAATTGATCCTATCCCTCTGCTCTGATGGAGACCATCCAGAACTTTATACAAAAGTTCTCTCGGATAGAAAAAAGAAAGACTAAAAAACTAAGATGAGGAACATCCAGGGATATTTATGAAAATCAATGTGTAAAGAAATTTTCTTAATTCATCAAGGAATAGAGGAATTATTTGGAAAAAGATATACACAAATTTTTTTTTAAATAAGCTTAACTGAGTACCAAGCGGTCAGACTGAATTTTCAGGGTGTAGTTCTGATGCATATGTGTAAGTTGAACATTCATGGAGCTGTCAAGAATTAAGAAAAAATAATTTGCTTGTCAAGGAGCATAATTCTTTCAACAAAGGGTAGAAACAAAAACAAAAAAAAATAAATAGAAGATTTCCAATACTTAGGTTTATGATGCTTCGTATCACCACTTAACAGAATGACATGAACAAGTTGTATTTTGATTGTACACACACAGTATTGGACAACATAGGGTTAATCAACCATAATTAATGTTACATAAGCATCCTTAGCACATTTGGAAAAAGATTTTTGTTGCATATCACAGAGCTGTACTTCATGACTGTCTTCATTTCCATTCTTCATTATCTGAAAAAAATAAGAATAAAGAAAGAAAGATTGAAAAAGAGTGTAACTTAGTTCAAAATAAATCAGCAAAATGGTATCAATTGTCTAGAACATACCGTAACTGTTTTTTGTGAAAGTTAAAAAAAAGATAGAGTAAATTAATGTATTGCCCCCCACCACCTCTCATCAGAAAGGAATTGTCATGTTTACTCAATTTACTGTCCATACATTGTCATTAGGACCTATCGATAACTGTTTCCAGGGTGGGAAATAGTCCACGTCAGATGGCCTGAAGCCAGTAACTTTCATCGTCATGCAAGTGAAAATTCCCATGAGTTTGCTAGACGTGTGAGTAATATTTTGGTATTATTGGAAAAAAAATAACCAGCTATTTCAATGATAAGAATATTTTCGTAAAAAAGTGGTCCAATTAATCTTTAGCTATAAACAATTCCTGACAGTGGTGTTTGCCTTTCAAGCACTTGTTAGACTTTGACACAGATCATGCTAGCAATGCTTAGCAACTGCTAGTTGTTGTCGACATAGACAAGTATCTGAAAAAGAAATTGGTGACACTAGTTGAAAAAATAAAGAGCCCGACAATAAAGGAACAAAGAGAAAGTATTAAAGCACTATTGATGAAAAAAGTTCCATTTCTGCCAAAATTATGAGACAAAATGTCCTGGACAAAAAAATTCCTGTGGGTTTATTTTGACATGGTTACAAATGTAATGTTCTGTTCCGTAAGTCAAAAACATCCTAATATTGCTGACACTACTGCAACTCTTTCCAAAACTTTGACAAATTATAGAAAAAGGGTCTCTTGCAAGTCACGATACCAGTGTTACACATAGACTATGCGTGAATAGATGCCAAGGCTGAAAAAGACAGCATGGTATTGGGTCAGATGTATATTTGATATGGTAACACATAACAGAATGAAAATTCTGTTTAACACTGCATTTTTGTGAAGCCAAAGAGGCTTTACCATTCAATTGCTTTGAAGGGTTATGTAAGCTTCAAATTAAACACAGCCTCACCAATAACAAATCATGCAAATCCATGATCGAAGCCATAACATCATTAGAAGCTAAAGGTACATGTGACGCTGTCCTTTAAGCATGTTTCGTGTCGGTTCTTGCCGATGGTTTCACGGATGCACCAAGAACTTGTTTATGTGTCGGCATTTCAAAAATGTCACAAATAGAAAAAATAGTTGGTTGTAATTTTGATGGAGCTGATGATATGATAGGAGCCAAAGGGTGTGTTTCTGCATTACTAAAACTGACCATACCTCATATTATTAGTTTCTGACAGGTTAGAACTGGTCATCATGGATGCTGTGAAAACTGTACCATACCTCAATGAATGTGATGAGACTCTTGATGACAAGTATTTGTGAAGTTTTATACTTTATTCTGGATTGTACTTGTGACGGTCACACTTGATAACATTGTCGCCGTCTTTTTTACAACTCAAAACAAATCTTAAAAAAAACAACATGAAACAGGATACTCTCTAGCATCTTCTCCACATCCAAATGTCTGGTTGTTTGACTAATTTTGACATGTATTTGCCAAGTGCAAAGGCCAAAAAACACCCACAGCAAAGTTAACTGAGCCACAACCTGGTTCATTTTCTGCTTCACAGAGTTCCTGCCCAGCCACTACCAGATATACCAGTTGATGACGCAGGCCTGAATCAATCAGTGACAGTGAATAGCTAGTAGAAACCTCTGTATGACTTTGTTGAATAAACACACAGACACAAAACAATCAATGCATCTGATTTTTTATTCAGCATGTAAAACAAAATATTTAAGATAAAGGAATGAACATATGAATCCAAACAAACAATTGAGTTAATAAATCCTGGGCCTGTACATTTTCTCTTCGGGCAAGTAAATTTTGAAATCTAGTGGCCTGATTTCAAAATATTTTTTTGCCCTGTACATGGTAATAAAAAAAGATTTTTTCAAACCATTTTCTTGTTGAATTTATTATTTGACCAAATAGGTAGTATAAACATGGTAATAACTACTTAATTATATGTATAATGGCCTCCTCTTAACCAAACATTTACAGGACCCATCACTGAGTCCTGACCAACAGTCTACTGTTAATATGTAGGGAACAATCGGCTGTGTATGAGTGTGCTTTCAAGAGTAGTGGTCAGTTAGGATTAACTGAAATTGATGACACTAATTAGATAATTAAGCAGTGTACTCACCTATCTGGGCCTTGATTATGTGGCCAGGTGGTCAGACTTACTAATTTGACAAACATTGCAAGGTTTCTTATGACCTACCTAGTGGGATATCTGAAATTGGGAGATTACTCCAATTTTGATCCATACAATCAGGAAGCTGGGAGGGAGAGTGAAAATCGGGAAACACCCAACTGAATTGGGAAAGTTGGCAGGTATGCAATACATTATTTAGCTCTGTAATCTTACTAGGAACATCTTATTAGAAATAAAAAACCCATGAGTACTCGTTTGAAATATTTAAATGATGTTTTACAATTGTTTGACTAAAACCTTAACATAATTCCTTGGCAAATAAAAACTTCACATTTAACAGTTTACAGTCCAAAAAGGGAGACTTTTAGAATTCACATGAAATTCTGTAGATCAATTGCTTTTATGAGTATGGATTAATGACTGTAATTAATTCTGATACTTGACAATATTACCTTGTTACTGGTATGAATGTATTTCAATCTGCTATATTGTTTGATAAGACTTTATAAATGTACTTCAATGAATGTAGTTGAATTAGATCCTGTCTTACAATGTTGAGTTGCTTTAAGGAGTTCGCACCCTTAATTTTAGGTACCATAACATAAGTCCCACTCTATCCTCCCCGCTTTCTTTTACGCCTGGCTGCCCTTCAGTGGTGTTCCATAAAGGTTGTTAGTGGAAGGGAGATGGGTGTAGGTACCATATTTGCATACAAAAGTTATGGTAAGTATAACCTCATGAAAATTGGTTTTACATGGAAAAAAAATTAATTTCATTTCAGTAATAATTACCATAACTTTAGTATGCGAATTCGTCTTACCATAGTGGTGACTAGATGCAAGGCAGCCGAAGTAGTAGGGAGGGGGAACAGAGTGCCAGAGAGTAGGAAGGGACCTCCCCATTTAGGAGTAGGTGTACCCACAGGGCTAATGAGGAGGCACAGCCACTGACTTTGCCACCACTAGAGGTCCCAATGAATACAGGCCTTCTGAGTGGGAAGCTAGGGATCACAGATAAAAATCTGTGACGGTATCTCTGCCCAGTCAGAAGGCTGCAGACATGACTTCCTGCAAAGAGGACCTATTGAGCAGGGCCCAGGACGCTGCAAGGGCCCTGACCTCATGAGCTGCACTTTCACCCTCGCCCAAGCCTGATCATTTGAATGCTCGTAAGCATACTTAATGACCTAACAAATCCACCAGGAAACCAACTGGGAGGAGATATCTCATTGTCCCTGTTTGATTGGCAGCCCCCACCCCCTCCTATGTCCAGAGCCCACAGCCAAAAGGAAGACTGCCTTGAAAGTTACAAACTTTAACGAGGCAGTTTCCAAAGGCTCAGAAGGAGCCCTAGTCAGAGAATCTAGCACCAAGGCCAGATTCCACTGTGGGGCCAGCTGCCAAACTCTAGGTCTACTCAGAGCAAAGTCTCAGATTAGGGCAGAGAGAGAGGAGGAGGAACCTATCTCTTCCTACCGTAAAAAGCAAGGACGCTAGCAATCCTTTGGTCTCTACTTGTGTGTTTTGATTTTGGGAATGATCAGAAAAAACAAAATGGCTTTCAGATGACCATCTTGGAAGTGGTGGCAGGTAAAGATTATCACTGCTATTTCTGCAAATGAATGTTCCAATTCCTTGTCATTAAGAGCAAAAACAAAGAAGAAAAGAAAACAGAAAAGAACTTTTAAAGAGCAAATAAAGAGTGAACAATGGTGGGTGCCAAGATAGCTTGGTTTGAGTTAATCAATGGTTAAAGAGAGTTTTCAAATATGAATTAAACAAACTTGTGAAAATTGGTAGGTCATCTGACCCAAAGAGTCAAGATGACTTATTGCTGTCGTGCATTGTCCGTCATTGTGCAAATTCTGTCTGAAACATCATTAGGGGTTGGGATAATTTCTTAAATTCTGAAATATGATATAAAACCTGGGGGATTGGGGCAAAAGCGGGGAAATTAGACAATCTTTTGTTTCAAACTACTACCCTTCCTTAATGCTTGAATGGATTTCATTTAAAGTTTGTCCATAATATCAGTAGGGGTTGGCAAATGATTCTTCAATTCAAAAAGTTGATTTGACCCTTAGGGATTTTGGAGCAAGGCCACAAAAGGGGAAATTAGGTAATATTTTTTGCTTCAAAAGGATTCTCTTCCTTAATACATCAATGGGCTTAAACCAAATGTGGTGCAAAACATCCTTGTTGGTGGAGAATCATTTCTTAAATTCAGGAATTTGATTGGATACCAAGGACTTAGGGAAGAGGCTCCAAATGGGGATCTTAGACAATATTTTGTTTCAAAACGCTATTCCTTGATAATGCCTTTTTAGATTTCAGCCAAATTTGCCCAGAAACATTATCAGGGAGTGTCAATGATACCAAACATGCATGAAGTGATCCTGAGATTGTCCAGACCAAATTTTATTTTTATAAATAGTCTGAACTTATTCTCCTGTTTCATTCTAATCAATCAGAAAAATATTTGGAGTTTTATTTTCTTAATGAAAAGAAAGTGATGATTTTTTACTTTTCAGTCTGATCAAAACTTCAACATGGTAACCGCAGTAGTTATTTTGTAGCCATTTTTCATGCTCAGAACCTGCCATTGATGAGTTTCTGATACTTTCAATGAATGTTCAAAATTTGAATTCACCAGATTTGTCGGACCACCATCACTGAATTCTGTAGTTTGTCAATACAGCATCAATTGTTAGATGACCATTAAGGGCCATGTTTATCAATTCACAGCTGTGGATTTGTAGAGACTCGTCAGAATTATATATTTTGAGTCAAATTTTAGCTCACCTGACGTGAAGGAAGCGTGAAAGGCCTAGAGGCATGATAATAGGCTGGTATGTTCCTAGAATGAAGCCTATAAAAGTGTGTGAAAAGAAAGGACCTTGACCTATATTCAAGGTCACAAGGGTAAAATTTGTTAAAACCTTTAAATGGCTTCTTGCAAACTAAAAGACCTAGATGTATGATATTGGACTGGTATATTCCTTTTGATGAAGCCCTATAAAGTTGAGAAAAGAAATGACCTTGAATTATATTCAAGGTCACAGAGGTGAAATTTGTTACAACCTTTAAACAACTTCTTCTCATGAACTAAAAGTCCTAGAGGCTTGGTATTTGTCTGGTATATATATACCAGGTGAGCGCTGCTTGCCCATAAGGCCTCTTGTTCTCCTGAAGTCCAGGTTTTTTCATTGACAATATTTTCAATCAGTACTAAATTCTGGTTTACTCTAACTCATGCTTTGAGCAACTGGTTCCGGTTGTCTAACTTGATTCAATATTTCATTAGAAACCGACATATATATATACTTGTAGACATTACAAAAGACAAAACTATGTATAAAATATCTCACCAGGGATGATGAGTCAGAACTGCAAACATATATGTAGAAGATGATAACCACTGTCCGATGTCCTGCCCAGAATGAAGGAATGTGCAGGGTAGGGTATAGATAGGTGTTTAGTATGTGCACACATTCTTACTCACTCAACCAATCAGGATAGCTCCTTTACATATCATACATACCAATGTGTGAGTGTACGATATTTACCTTACAGGTACCCCGAGTATTGGGCCAATATCTTATTTCATTTTCTGTACTTATGTAAGCTCAGTTACCAAAGTGCTGGTAGGGATTGTGTAGTGCCAGTATAAAGAATATGATTTCAAGATTGCAAAAATGTCTTTATGAACTAACCAAAGCTGGACCAATCACATGGCATTTCTAATACTTGTAAATAAATCCATGGCCAATTAAAGCTGAGAAGTAAACCTCAATATAATTGTAAATTGTTGATCTTATCATTACCAGTCATTGGTTCTAGGACAATTAGTAGTTTAGAATCATGGTGTTTGACTGGACATTTCCTCATTTGAAATCCAACAAAGATGGGAAAAGAAATTTTACCTCTGTCTGTATTCAAGGTCACAGGGTTTTGATTTGTGTAAGCATTCAAATGACTTCTTTTGATTTATCAAGATGCCTAAAATCTTGATATTTGGGTGGTAGGATTTTGTGAAAAGAATGAAATGTTGATAACTTTAAACAAGATCTTCTGAATAACCAAAAAGTTAGTTGATATCAGTGATTGGAAATGCTAACATATATTGGGAAAGGATTGAATAGCAGGTGAGAGAGATACATACCTTCTGACTCTGTTGTTCTATTTCAGGTTAGGATGGATGTATGTCAAGAAAAGATGTTAAAATGTGAAAGCTGAAATGTCTAGGGGACCAACACAGGCCCATTAGGCCTCTTGTTAAGGATATTATGTGATCCTTTTGATGATAGACTTTAATAATGAGATTCAAACATCAAATAAATGATGAAGTATTGAAATCTTCCATCCTATGAAAATATAACATGTTTTGTGTAAATTTCAGCTCCTCCTGTGGTGATAACGAACACAACTGAGGTCAAGGGACAAATAGGGAGCAGTTTCACTATAGAGGTGGAATTTTACAGCAGACCAGCGGTCAGTGAGACTGATGTGACGTGGACCAAAGGAACAAAGACTTTAACTCATAGTAATAAAACTGCTATGTCTATAGTGGACACATCTGTTCGTGTATCATTCCATGGTGTTCAGATTCAGGTCAAAGGTTATGTGGCCGCTATAACAATACACAGTCTGATGGAACCGGACTTTGGCAATTACACAGTGACAATAGAAAACAGTCAAGGGAGGGCTAGCTACATGCTGGAGTTCAAATCTGCAAGTAAGTTTAATATAGAGCAATACATTTGTACTTATGTGTTTGAAACATCTTATCTTGAATTTTTTTTTATGTAAAACCAATCTTCATGAGGTAATGCTTACCACAACCTTAGTTTGCAAATATGGTACCTACACCCATCTTTGTATCCCAAAAACAAAAGATTAAAAAATCCTGCCCTCCCTTCGAACCATGAGCCATCACGGCAGAAACATAAATTGATCTCCCTTCCTCTAACAACCTTTATGGAGCACCACTGAGGGGCAGCCAGGCAGAAAAGGAAGAGTGGAGGATAGGATGGGACTCCATAAAGTTATGGTAAGAATTACCTCATGAAAATTGGTTTTACATGAAAAAACCTCAATTCTATTACAGTAATAATTAACATAACTTTAGTATGCAAATTTGTCTTACCGTAGTGGTGACTAGATGCTAGGCAGCCCATCCAGCACAGCTGAAGTAGTAGGGAGGGGGAACAGAGTGCCAGAGAGTAGGAAGGGACCTCCCGGTGTAAGAGCAGGTGTACCCACGTGTCGCGGTACGGAAAGATATGCCTTTTGGCTAACGGGGAGGCACAGCCACTGACTTTGCCACCACTAGAGGTCCCAATGAATACAGGCCTTCTGAGTGGGAAGCTAAGGATCGCAGATAAAAATCTGTGAAGGTATCCCTGCCCCGCCAGAAAGCTGCAGACATGACCTCCTGAAAGGATGACCCATTGAGAAGGGCCCAGGATGCAGTGAGGGCCCTGACCTCATGGGCTGGCACTTTCAAACTCGCCTGAGCCTAATCAACAGAATGATCTTATGCATACTTAATGACCTGGCACACTCACCTGGAAAACCAACTAGGGGAAGATATCTCGTCTGTTTGATGGGCAGAAACAGGCGGGATTGAGAGCCCCTCTTCTGATCCTGATGGGATCAAGTGAGAACCACGGGACCTGATTCTTCACCAAAAATGAAGGATCAGTTAGGAGAGTTATGATAGCATAGCCAGACAAGGCGTGGACTTCACTCCTCCTACGTCTAAAGGCCAGAGCCAAAAGGAAGACTGTCTTGAAAGTTGCAAACTTAAACAAGGCAGACTCCAAAGGCTCATAAGGAGCCCTAGTCATTGAATCTAGCATCTAGGCCAGATTCCACTGTGTTGCTAGCGAGAACACTTGCAATAGCTGTGTGATAGCCAGCAATGGTGACAGGTGCCAGATTGCGTTCCCTGAACAAAGAGAGTAGGAAGTCTGCAATCAGCTGTACAAAGGCTTCAAATGGAACAACCTCCCTGTTGACACACCAATCCCAGAAGATAGATGGCAGAAAAGGAAGCCCAGATTGATTGCGCGATGCAATCAGACACCTCCTGAGAAAAGCCTGCCTTGTCGAGGCTTATAGTGTCCACGCCTGAAGGTGGAGGATCTCTGGTTGAGAGTGTGTCATTCTGGACCTAGGCTGGTGAAGGAGACTTGGTCTAGTGGGGAGAGCATTTCCACCAGAAATGACAAGAGCTGTGGAAACCAAGGTTGCCACAGCTACAGAGAGATTATCAGAAGTAAGGAACAGTGATGTTCCCAGAACTTCTGTAGCACTCTGTCCACAAGGTTGATGGGAGGGAATGCATATGCATACATCCCGTCCCAGTCCAGAGAAAGGGCGTCTACAGCCCAAGCCTTGGGATCTGGGACCAGAGATATAAAGGTTGGCAGCTGGTTGTTCAGGGAAGTGGCAAACAGGTCTATAAGAAGTCTGTTCCACACTTGACAAACACATTCAGCCTGCCAGGAAGATGCTTGACCTGGGTAGTCACACAAATCACTTTGGACTGCAGGATACCCTCAAAGGACTGCAGAGCCAAAAGAACAGCCCTCATCTCGAGCTTAAAGATGTACTCTGAGAGCCGTCCCCTGACCACTCCCCTGAGCGGCACTGACTGTGGTGGTAAGCTCCCCATCCTGTCATGGGTGCATCCATCATCATAGTGGGGACAGGCTTGGTCAGTGGCACCCCATGGAGAACATTATCCTGAATGGTCATCCAGCGAGTGAACTCCCTAACCGACTGTGTAAGGGGAAATCAGGCCTCCCACTTCCTGGATGACGTGACCCAGTTGGACAGGAGGAACATCTGGAGAGGTCTGATGTGAAGCCTCCGAAGGGGGACTACATCTGCCATTGAGTTGAGATACCGAAGAAAACTGAGGAACCAACACACCTGGACATGCAACCAGGGGATGAAGGCCAGAGCCCTGGCCTACTCAAAGTTATCCAAAGGTGGATGGGCTAAGCCCAGAACCGTGTCCTTTTCTCGGAAAAAATGAAGTCTGGAAGGAATGAAGCTGACTCTGAGCAAGACTTTCAGGACCAGACCAGACCAGATTCCCTCACCAAGGGAAGCATGAGAGAGTCATTGAAATAAATGTGGATGTCTCTTCCACGAGAGTGAAGGAATCCTAGACCACCTGCAGCAGCTTGGTGAAAACCAAAGGAGCTGTCATAAGCCTGAAGGGCATTGGTAAGAATTGGAAGACCTTACCGTTGCACTTCAAACAGAGGAACTTGGGTGCCAACTTAATGATGGGGATATGGAAGTAGGAATCTTTCAGATCTACTGAAGTTGCCCCATTCCATCCCTCACAGAGGCCATAATGCCCTGTGGAGTCTCCATCTTGAAGTGAGGAGAATCTACGTGCCTGTTGAAAGCACTGAGATCTATGATTGGACGCCACCCATCGGACTTCTTCCTAACCAAAAACATTCTGGAGTAGAAGCCAGGGGTACATTCTGACATAGGAACCTCCTCTATCGCGTCCTTGGCAAGCATGGTACCTACTTCCTAGAGTGTCTAAACCTTTTCTGCATCCCCTGAAGGAGGAAAGAAAATCAGCTGGACGGTGAGGGGCAGATCCCGAAAGAAGGGGGATGCCTAGACCTTCCCTGACCATAGACAATGCCCAGGCATCTTCTGTGATCTCTGCTACTGGGGAATAAAAGCGGAAAGACACCTCTCCATAGGAAGTTCTGGATAGGGCAGATGGAGATCTTGCCAGACTAGCGAATCCGGAGCCTAATCCTGTGGGGACAAGAGCTTGAGACGGGAGGACCGCTGTCCATCCAACCCAGCTGTTGGTCAGCAGTGGCCAAGGAGCTGAAGGAGTCAGGAACCCTTCGTCTTGCTCCCAGGAGGGTTCTTACCCTTCCTACCCTTCCCCTTGTTTCCCTGGAAGTGAGGCTGGGACTTGGGCTGCGCCTCTTCTTGGGAGGCAGTGACCCATGCGAGGCACTGGCCTTCTCAGCCTGAAACCTCTTCACAAGAATTGCTGAGGCGACTGAGTCCTTCTTCATATCCAATAGAACAGAAGGAAGCACTCCTCTGAACAGGGTAGAGCCCGCGAAGGGGGCAGTCAACAATCTAGAGAGGTAGGGATCCTTAGCTGGACTGTTTTCAAGACTGAAACCCGCCTGGCCAACACGACATTGTCTAGCAAAGACACTTGCAAGGCAGCTGATGCTCTCAATGCCATGTTCAGGGCAGATGTGATTCTGTCCTGTATGTCGGCCTGTGCTGCCTCAGATATCGGACCCTCAGGCAAGTCTGATACTGTATATGGACAAACTGTTCGGTTGTCTTTATATGACAGAATATGGATGGACAGCTCAACATTCTCTCCATCTTGTGGTTTTCCTTAGAACCAAACATCACCTGGCCCTTGGTACCTGACAGAGTCGTTGGCAGAAGGTGGTGGACTCGAGGAATGATGATGCTGAAGGAGGTGGGCAAACCTCTGCCCCAAGAATCCGGGAGACATTGGCCAGGATGGAATGCATTCCAGAAAGATGTGTCAATAACCAAGCACCCAGGAGAAAGATGAATAACATCTTCCTCTGCCATGCCCGCGCCCTCAAAATCTCTTCCTCAATAGGGATTGAAGTCTCTGGGGGAGTAACAGGGGCCACCAGAGAAGTCAACTCCAGAGAGGGAGGCTGTGGCTGTAGGCTTGGGTCTGACTAAGACCTGATGCCGACCCCTGGGATTTGGTGAAAAAAGGGTCCACGCGGGAGGTCCGACAAACCTTCCTAGGGCTGACTGACAAGGCCCCATAAGTAGCAGATCATTGGAGGGATTCTGAACTGCTTAAATGTCACCTGAAGGGAGAGACCAACCTCCAGGGAAAACCCATAGGGTTAAACCCAAACATCTGAGGGCATGGGAATGGGCTGCAGGCTAGGAGTGACCCCCAGAACTGGCCAAAATGGCCCACCTAATCCTTGGGTTGGCCATCCTGTCCGAAAGACAAGGATGAACCGCCACTCCTGCCAGGTGGACACCCAAACATGTATGGGTTAGGACTGCAGCTGCTTGAATAATGCTGGTACTCAGAACCATCCGCAGACTGGCCTGGGTGGTTTAAGGATGAATGCCCGCAGGCACCTGTATACCCAGTGCCTGGGGAAAACAGCGACTGGAAACTGGATGCCTGGCCTTTTAACCCAGCTCCTTTGGGGAAATCTCCTAGGTACCCCTGCACAGGGAACTCTGGACTGGACCAGAAAGGCCAAGAACCAGGAACCTATGACTGTTGGAAAGCAGGCCCCAGACTGACGCGAGGATTAGTGAACTGCAAGTCACTAATCCTCGTAGCCACAGACAATCCTGACTAAAAGTCTGGGGCCCTGAAACTCGAAAGTATAGGCCCAGCGTCAATGCAGTCCCATCAACAACACCACCTGGCTAGCTGGGATCACTGAATGAATCACTCCGAAGAAATGGGAATGCCCATTTGTTGAACCACAACATAATCCAGTGCTAGCCATGGTTGAAACAATAATAAAATTTTAAACAAGAAAAACAGGCAGGAAAGGTTTAGACAAAAACTTACAAAACAAACCATGAATGAAAGCAAAAAATTAGCATAACGTGGCAAAAATTGCAAGAAAACGGCCGCACAAAAACAGCCGACAACGCAGCAAAATAATAACAAACTTTACCTAATATCCGAAACAGTGAAACATGCACTCAAAAACGTGGAGAAAAAGACGGTGGAAAAATAGGCAGAAATAAACATAAAATCAAGTCATATAACAACAATATAAATTGAGAGATGGGTAACTGACTTCCAAATGAGTAACAAATAATACTCAGATAATGAATTAATGTATGACGAGAAGGAACTGAAAGCACTTAGCTAAAAACGTCCAGACTCGTCAACAGCCATAAAGGAAAAAGGAAGGGAGATCACTCTATGTTTCTGCCTTGATGGCTCATTGATAGTAAGGAGGGCAGGAATTTTGAATCTTTTGTTTTTGGGATACAAAGATGGGAGTAGGTACCATATTAAGTTATGATAATTATTACTGAAATGAAATTAAGTATTTATCACTTTTGAGCTCTTTGATTTTGTCATTCCATTTCTGTAATCCTCTTACCACTGCTTATCTGAAAGCTGATGAAAAGATGTACCAGTGTATAGCAAAGTGAAATATACTGGCGTCAAATGGTAGTGAAATGTACACTGTCTTTGTTATCAGTTGATGTTTCTTCACATAATTTCTCATCATTTATTTATTTTCTTCCAAACACTAAAACAAAAAATAACCAAAGTTAGGAAAATTAAGGGTGGGGTATCATTTTAACATGGCCATGGTAAAGTAAATTAAGCATTTGAATATTTTCTTGTTTATTAACTTCTTTTGCCTTTTTTGGGTCATCTAATTTGAAGGATCAAGAAGACTGATAGCTATTGTGCTTCTTCTGTTGTCATGCACCATGCGTCATGTGTCATGTGGAACTTTTTCTTTAATACCCTCTCCTCTTTCATACCTAAATGTATTTCAACCAAATTTGGTCTGATGCATCATTTGGTAAAGTTAATCATTCCTTAATTAGGAATTTTTATTTGACCCCTTGGGATCGAGGAATGGGGCCCCAAAGAGAGAGGTGCTGAAATTGGATTTAAAACCCTAATACCTTTCTGTCTGGGTGGATTTTGACAAGCTTTGGCCTGAAGAGTAGGAAATTATTTCTTAAATTCATAAATTTGATTTTACCCCTAGGGACTTGGAGACAGGGCCCCAAAAGGGAAAATAAGACAATATTTTGCTTCAGAATGCTTTTCCCTAGGTACTTGGGGTTGGGCATAGTGCCAAATGGGGAAATTGGTCAACATTTTGGATCAAAATGCTACTCTTTCTAATTGCTTGAATGGATTTCAACCAAATATGATCTGAATCATCATGGAGAGTGGAAAATCATTTATTAAATTCAGAAAAGTTGATTCGATACCTAGGGATGTGTCAGCAGGGCCCAAAAGGGGAAGTTAGACAGGACTTTTATCAAAATGCATCTGTTTCTTAATGCTTGAATGGATTTGAACCAAGTTAAGTGTAAAACATCATAGAGATTGGGGAATCGACTCCTAAATTACAGTTTTGATAAGCTTGAAAGCTCACAGGGATCAAATACATAAATGTATGTTAAAATTCTTAACTGACTTTTTCTCAATAGCCAAAAGGCCAAGAATGGTGATATTAGGCATATAACATGCTAGAATGAGGAGCTACCGAATCTGTTAATATGAATGACACTTTCAAGGTCAAAGGTATCAAATGTGTAAAAATGTTTATCTTGATATTGGGCCCTTAGCATGCTTTTTCAACAAGCAATACGTCAGGAGTAATGGCAGTTGTGCAGTGTATGTATTAAGAATATGATTTAAAGTTTGCAAAAATGTCTTGATGAACCAACAATGCTGTAGAGTAGTTGAGCAATTTATTTTTGGCCAATTTTGCCTCTTTCATATATGGGACTTTATAGTCAGATGACTGTTAAGCCCCATGTGCTTCTTATTTTTTCTAATTACCAAGATTATTTAAACACAAATATAACAAAAGCATGTAATGGGTGGGGAAATTTAGGAAGGGGCAAGGTGCTTCAATTTCATACCTTGATCTTTAGTTTTTTTCCCATGTTAAAGAGAATTTTAAGTAATTCAATTTTTAATTCATTAATAAACACCATAGATATGTTGTGGTCTTGTGCATTGTAACATATCAAAGAAAAAAAAAGTAAATTTGATTCTCAATTCTCAAAATTCATTTCAATTTTTTTTTTATTTTGTTGTTTAGTTAGGTATGTAAAATGCATTTTTGTACAGAAATTTCAAATGAAATGTAATAACTGATGATTGTGGGCTTATAAATGCTGACAGGCTATTCAAGTCATCCTACGTCCTCAATCTGTCCATTTTGGATTTGGCCACAATTTTGGATTTCCACAATGAAAGTTTGTTATTGCTATTTTTTGAGAAGTACTGAATGGAACTTTTTCATATTTTATATGTATGTTCCTCTTTGTCTCCTGTTATGGCCATCTGGTTTTGGGACTGATCAGAATAAAAAATAAAAAAAATGGCCAACAAGTGACCATCCTCAATTTTGCAGTTAAAAATTATTGTTGCTATTTCTTCAGAGAAATGTTCAAATTTCATATAATTAAGATAAAAATGAAAGAAGGGAAAAATATCCAAATTTAGAAAAGCAAATATACTTCCAACAATGGTTGCCAAGGTCACTCTGGTTTGCTCAACTGGTCCAAGCATTTGTTTTGCATGAACAGTGGCTCTTCACATTATGCGTTGGAGGGTGGAAAACGGGAAGTTGAGCAAAATTTTAAACACAAACTCTTTTGGTTGGAATGATTTCATTTTGCCACAGTTTAGTCAGAAGCATCATTTGGTGAAGAGAAATATGTTTAATATCAATTGTTGGTCTTAGCCTCCTACGTCAGTGGTGACGTTCCCAATAAGAGAAATTGTTTCTTTCCCGAGAGTGAAGTATAACTTTACTGTGGTATTAATTATCTGATGTTCATATAACAACAGGTTCGCCTTTACCACCAGACAATGAAGTATAACTTTACTACCAGACAATGTGGTATAACTTTACTGTGATATTAACTATCTTTGTTAATATAACAACAGGTCCGCCGTTACCACCAGACAACGTTATACCACTATCTCATGATAGCAGCAGTATTACAATACAGTGGACGCGGAGATTCAATGGTGGAGCAGAACAATGGTTTATCATTGGATACAAGACTGACATATCAAAGGACTTCGATGATCTTGCTGCAATACCAGATTCTCATGATGTTAACCAAACATACCAAATTACTGGACTGAAAGCTGCAACAACACATTTCATACGAATATATGCTGAAAATAAAATTGGTCATAGTGATTTTGTTTTTCTAAACCATACAACTGGTAAGTTGATTATTTATTAACCCATAATTACTGTTTTTGTATCGAAATTTGAAGACAAAATTTCTTAACATAATTTTGGCCCTGAATCAATGGTGAGTGGGTCTTGTAGTAATCAGGTTGTCTGTCTGTCCACTATTTATTAGCCCACCATTATCAGATTGTGGGCTATTCAAATCCTTCTGCCCCTGTGGTCCATCACCCATTTATCCATCTGTTGTTTGTCTATATACAATTGTTGTTATCACTATTTCTTGAGAAGTACTGGATGGATCTTTCCTAAATTGCATATGTCTGTTCCCCTCAGTCCCTAGTTGTGCCTGTTTGATTCTGATAGTGATGAAAAAAAACCAAAATGGCTGATAGGCAATGAAGTTTGTTATCACTATTTCTTAAAAAGTAAAAGATGGACCTCTCTCAAATTTCATTTGCACGTTCCCGTTGGTCCCTAGTTGTGCCCATTTTATTTTGGGACTGATGAATAAACAAATTGGCCACCAGGCAGCCAGTTTGTATTTTTTCATATAAGATTGTTATCGCTATTTCTTGAGAAATACTTGATGGATCTTTCACAAATTGTCTATGTAGGTTCCCCTTGTTATGCGCATTCGATTTTGGATCTGATAGAAAAATTAGAATGGTCAACAGTCGGTCATCTTTGATTTTGGCTTTGCAAGCTTGTTATACGCTACTGTATACTTGTGCCAATTTGATTTAGGGAGATGATCAGAAGAAAAACAATGGCTTTGAGGTGGCCATTTTGGATTTGGCAGGTAAAGATTATCATTGCTATTGCTATTGCAAATGAATGTTCAAATGCCTTATCATGAAGATTTTCTTTTTAAATTTCATGCGTAGCTGTTGATGAGGAGGGACCAAACATCGGCCCTTTGATTGGAGGAATGGCAGGAGCAGCAGTTTGCCTCACACTAGCTGTTGTGGCTGGTGTTATTTACAAACGGAAAAGCAATGGCAAAGGTAATACAGATTTTCAGCTTACAGTTCATAGGTAACAATGATTCCACATTGATGTGGTACTCCATATTTTTGGAGTCCTTATTAGAGTCTCAATGAAGATGAGAATGTATACTGAGAAGAAAAAATTTCCCACATTTTAAACATAAACAGTTCACCGTAAAAAATTCCACAACTGTCCGAAGTTGGCAGGGGTCGTGCCATTGCACTTCTTATGCAAGGTATCCGGCAAAATCAGGTCGCTAACAATTTGGAGTCCATCCATCGAACATTTGCCTCTCATCCAAAGACCACATGCCACCGAAAGGGTTGCAGACCATCCCCGAAGCTGTCGCCCTCGTGTGACAATGCAAGATAGGGCAATGTGACTTTCGCACCTAAGCAATCGCTTTCTGACGGCCAGGGAAACAGCAAGGAACACAATTGGATGTCATCATGTTCCAATTGATCCAAACACAGTGCGTACTCGACTGCGTGCCTTCGGTCTAAGACCACGGCGGCCATATGTTGACCACAGCTTTATGCGCGGCGACGTGCCAGATGAATGCAATGGCTGAACGCACATTCCATAAGATGCTTCCCAATGCAACGTTGTAGAAGGGTCCTGTTCTCAGATGAGTCCAGGATTTCGCTTTAATGGGCAGACTGCCGACGTCGTGTCTACAGACGTACCCACGAGCGCTTTGCAGGGATTGTGCATAGTATCAAGACTCATCTGGTCATTATTCAGAGAAATCTTGTGGCCGTCCGCTATAGAGATCAAGTCCTAGTGCCGCATGTTGTTCCTCTAGTACAGCAGCGTCAACTGACGTTTCAGGAGGACAACGCCCGGTCGCATGTAGCGGGGGTTTGCCGTGGTTATCTCGCAGCAAACAATGTCCCCACCCTAGACTAGCCCCCATACTGCCCTGACATCTCCCCAATAGAACATTTATGGGAAGATATTGATGGGTCCAGAACGCACTTCATTTTGAGTGGGGTACTTTTGAATCAACGTCAAATTTAAAAGGTTTACTTAATGTACACGAATGAAATTCTCGTAGATGACAGAGTGGTCAACTATCTTCAAGTTACACCATAATTACATTCTAAAACCCTTTTCTATTTCCCGTAGTTGACCTGGAAATTCCTAATTGCATTTCTTTTTCCTCTCAGTATATATCATATTGTTCTGGCAGACGTTTATCTCCGAGGTTTGCCATAACCTGCATGACAGGATTTTAGCTCACCTGGTGAGCTTATGCAATATGCCTCATCTGACGTCTCCTAAGCTAGATTTGATCCATTCTGCGAGGTGATTTAGTTTTGCAGAGTGAAAACCATTTAATATCATGTGTCAAATGTAATAGTAACTTAATGATAATGACTTCCTGATGTGCTTCTTACATACATTGTTTGAGACCCCAAAAAAAAGCATTGTAATATTCTTTGTTTTTTTTTTTAGTTGGAACATTCATATTTCTTTGACGGTTATATTTTAGTGGTTATGCCCAAAGGGCAAAGTGAGCTATAAACATACAATGGTATTCTTCTTCTGTCTGTTCATCCGTCCATCCATCCATCCCTTTGTCCCTCCTCCGTCCATCCGTCCATCCCCGTAAGCTGAAGGAGAAAAGCCCAGTATGGGAAAATAGACCAAATTCTTTAATATCTTGGTCCCCCTGTAGGATTTTGTTCAACTTTAGTGTGAAGATTTGTACAAGGAAAGGGAATCATTTTTAGCTCAGCTGGCTTGAAGTGTATAAAACAGTGTCCCTGGCTCGTCTGTCTGTCCATCCTTACATGGTCAACCTTTACCCAAATTTGGTCTAAAGCATTTTTATATAATTTTGCTTATCTCAGTTGACTGTCAAGGCCACGAGGATTATTGTTTGGCTAATGCAAACAGTTCATTCAATGAATTGGCTTTCAGATATATTCAACTCGATACACCAGTATAAATACAAATTTTAATATGAGATAAAAGGTGACAATGGTAAATTTTCTTATAGATAAAACAGGTTTATAATTTGATAAAATAGCAGACATTGATGAATGCACATGTAAAAATGAATGTTAAGGAATAAAGATGCTCTCAGATAACTTGTCAGCATTCATAGTAATCAAGACTGAGAAATCTTACTGCAATGAAAATACATATATATCACGAGGCAGTTTAAAATACAGTGATGTGATCATGAACAAGAAAAATATCGAGTACAGATCAGGACCAAAGCTGGAATGAAAAATATATGGCATGTACAGCCTGAGTGGCCCAGCTGTACCTGTCTGAAACTAAATTGCAGAGTATCATTGTTTTTTCAGAATTTCAGCATAAATTAGGGTCGGTGCACAGACATATTTCTGTGCTAATAAGTATGAATGAAAGCTTATTTTAGTTCATGGGTTTATGGTTGACAGGAAATTCTGAAACAGGACCCTAACATATATCAGGTCCAACATCTGATACATGTCCCTTCATGTATTGTGGAATAATTCCAGACCACCTGAGCTGCTTTAACTGGGTTATGTTAAAGCGCCATTCTATACTGGAGTATCTGTGACACAAGTCCAAAGTTACCTGACAGACATTTGATGAATATATAGGCCAATCATTGAAAATGTGTGAAATGACAGAATTTATCAAAAAATCTAAAATTACAAGTCATTGAATATTTGATATATTTATATTTCACTGCAAAATGACAATTGAAGATATTGTGGGTTAACATGACAAATTTTAGCCGAGGTCTGCTATGTTGTTTGATGTGGTTTAGCGTTGATCCTTTCATCCCTATGAAGGACTATCTAATGTAATATTTTTTATTCTTAGTAACACAAGGAAACCCAAGATATGCAAGAAACATATCAGATGAGAAGCATGTGCTACATTATATCGCTAGTTGTTCCTAAGACACACAGGGACATCAAACACAATTTAGAGTCTTCATAATGGCTTTTCGTTGTGCAATAGATTTACAATTTTGATGATAAACTGTGCACAGACAATACTTTATGTAAAAAAACTTTGCATGACATTAACATTTTCAAGGCACTTGAAATTTCCTATCTCTTTGACCTTTTTAACAAAATGTTATGAAATTTATAATGGATTTAAGGAAAGAGATGTTCACTTGGAAATTGAAGTAAAAATCACTTCACGAATGGTTGACAAATTTGATTAAATAAATGCAGATCTTGAAATGTATTTAAATCTTCCATTTTCTCCTCAACAACCAAAAGTCCCAAGGTCAAGATATTTAGCTGGTTGCATATTAATAAGAAAAGTTTTCATTGTATTTTAAAGTGAATATCCTTGATCTTCGTTTATGGCACAAGTTAAGTATATTCTTGTCTTCTCTTGATATCTGCATCAGTGGTAAACAATAGAAGTAAATGAGGCATCTTATTTGAAAAACTACTAAAACACTTATCAATCCTAAATTCATTATAATTATTTATACAATGTGCCTCTTTTGCCTCTGCTTCAAATCGCTGTGTCCATAGTCCATCGTCAGTCCATCTAGTCCAGTCTATCCATAAAGAATTTTTGTTATCACATTTCTTGAGAAGTACTTTATGGCCCTTTCTCAAATTGTATATGTATGTCCCCCTTGATCTCTTGTTGTGGCTCTTCGACTGATCAAAAGAACAAAATGGCTGAAAGGCAGCCATCTTGGATTTTGTCTTCTAAAAATTGTTATTGCTATTTCTTAAGAAGTACTGAATGGATATCTCTCAAATTTCATATGTATGTTCCATTTGGTCTCTCCTTGTGCTTGTTTGATTTTGGAAGTGATCAGAAGTATCTAAATGGCTTCCAGGCAGCCATTTTGGATTTGGCAGGTAAAGATCCTCCCTATTTCTGCAAAGAAATGTACAAATGTCTTATCATTAAGAGCAAAAACAGAGAAGATAAAACAAAAGAAGGAAAAGATCCAGTTTTCAAATAGAATTTAAAAATCAAACTAGAAATTGTTGCTAACAATTTTCTGGGCTTTTTTACTTCTTGGCTAAACTCTTGGATATTGGACAGACTCCCCGATAAACAGCACTAGTTTAAGTTAATCTCAGCATCGTTTATGGCTTACCTAAATGAAATTCAACAAGCTGACCTGAGCAGTTCAAAAACATCCATTTTCAAAATGGCGGTCATGGCAGCCATCTTGGATATCGGACCAACTTAGAAAATAACATTTCTTAGTTAGGACAAAAATGGTAGTCCTTCATCCCAGCATGCTACAAGCCTAATATCCGTTCCCCCTTGCTTTTTGTTTGATCAAAGATGTTTGAATATTTCATATACATTTGACACCTGTGACCTTGAATGTTAGTCAAGGTGATTCATAACTGCGACCCTTATGAAACAACACCTGTAGATCAGTATATACTAAATACTAGTCCTCTACACCTTGTGGAACTTGAGAAGAAGATTGTTTAACACTGGTACCCTATATTGTACATTTCAACAGTGATTTCAACTTTGACCCCCTCCGGAAACGGCAAGTTGACATTTTTCCTCATAACACAATATGAGAAAGTTTCTTTGTTTGTTAATCTCTACAACATATCCAAAGATGAACTTTGTATCTTGAAACGTTCAGGAGATACAACTACATAATAACAAAGAAATACACTTTTTAAAGGTTCAAACATATTTGACCCTTGTGACCTTGAATGTCGGTCAAGGTTATTCGTATTTGCAAGCCTTATAATGTAACATCTGATGATCAATATATCCCCAATATTAGTTCCCTAGACCTTGTGGAACTTGAGAAGAAGATTGTTGAACACTGGTACCCTATTTTGTATATTTGAACTTTGACCCCTTTCAGAAACCGGTTGTTGACATTTTTCTTGATAATAATATATGAGAAAGTTTCTTCGTTTGTTAATATCTATAACATATCCAAAGATGAACTTTCTATATTAAAACGTTAAGCGAGTATAACTACATCAAAATAAATTAAACAATTTTTAAGACTCAAATATATTTGACCCCTGTGACCTTGAAAGTGAATCAA